TTGTTTGTCTACCTTCTTGTCCTTGTCCGTTTATCCTTGCGCTGTTTTAATCTTTAATCGCGCGTTGGCCGCGACGTCACGGAAAAGACCATTCCATTTAGCGCTCTCTGGGCGGCACCATTTTGTTCGCCCGCAGCGCCCTCTCCGCACATCCGGGAAGTTCAGCGGGTTCGGCGGGGTAAAACGAGAGAGAGGGCACGCGCCCGACTCCGCTAGCAGACGACAAACCGGGAGGTTGCCGTTCTCCATCTTTGGGCTGTATCGGCGGGCTCTACCGAACATCGAACTCTCGCTCGTGGCTGCCGTTGTGAAGTGGTACGCGTTCTTAGAATAGTTGTGGCTACTCCAAAATCAGCCTATAGCTCTCTGTTGTTCTATTTGCGAAATGATCAACTAGCATATCTTTTTTCCGTTACTTAAATAGCAGTTCAGTCAGCCGGCATTACTACCCTCAACTATTGTGTGTATTGCGGCAGGAGAGCACGTTGTATTTATTATTTCAGACTTCCACTCATGGTCGCTAAATGCCTACACCAGTACGAACTTTGTATAGTAAAAAAAATACAGCAACCGGATTTACTTTTCGCCAAAGAGATCGGCCAATCTGACACAGTTTTCCCTATTTTTTCTTTTATTTACACGCTGGTAACAGCGCAATCGGACCCTGTGAGTCTTTTTATCTTGCATAATATTACACGACAACTGGGATACCAAAATCTGCGCATCTGTGCTTGAAAGTTCCAAAATGACGCGATTTTAAACAGAGTTTGCACGCCAGCCGGACGCTAGCTACAGCCCACTCGGCGGAGCGGACGGAACGCGGGGTGAGAGGGGGAGTGCATTTTTTTCTCTTTTACCCTCTCTGCTATGACCCTAATGGAACGGTCTGGGATGCGGAGGTGGCGGAGGGATATCTGATTCCCCTTGAGGGGCATCTGCCGCTACTTTCTTAACCATTAACTGACTATAGTGCTGCGCGTCTTGGTCGTCTCGGTTCTTTGTTGTTCTTTGTTGGTCTATACCAAAATGGAATCGACAAAAAAAGTTGCTTGAATCTCAGTACTTTTTTCACCTATTACGTCCAAGCGGATTACATGTTTTTGTGATTATATTTCTATTACGTTACTAAAGTCTCGCACACTAACTCCCGAGTGTGCGATGCAAAATTAAAATGAGATACCCAGAAACCCGTTGCAGGCGCCCTGAAGTCGCTGACGTAAATTTTGAGGAATGTATTTGGAAAAGTATTTGGATGAGACCAAATACATTTGGTTGTATTCGTATCTTGTACTTAAATGCTTTTTTGGAAATGTAATTAGATTTGTAATTAAATACATTTTTGACGAAATATTTTGTATGTGTATTTCGATACATATTTGCATGTATTTTGCCCATCCCTGCATATTTGCATGCATTTTGCCCATCCCTGTTGTGAAGTAAAAAAACAATTTCTAAATACCGAATTTGAAGTTCCCGCGCGCTCCGCGCCAGTGCACTAACGTCAAATTTAGCGGTCTCTTGCGAGTGGACCTCCTCTCGGACCTCCGCTCCACGCTAGAAAGCAAAGCGCCGTTGCCACCGCGACCCGAAGCGCCGGCGGACCGGGAAAAAACCGGTTTCTTCCCGGACTCACCGATCACCCTCTGCTCAAACGCCACCAAGTTTTCCGAGGGAGGATACAAATCTAGGAAGCGACATCAAACCGGAGTTTTGGCATTTCAAAAAAGAGGGGCCGTAGTGCGTTCGCAATTGCGTTAAAAATGATTGCTGTTAATAGGGAATTGTAGCAGATCGTTTTTCTCCTCCGCTACGTTATCCCCGAAGAAAACGCCGCAGCTGCGCATGCGCGCCGCCAGCCTTCTCTGCATAGTTCAAGGTCTTGTGGCGGATTACGGAGCGCTATCCGGGTGCTTAGCGGGCTGCGGGATCGGTCTACTACAATTCCCTATTAAATGTTGTAGAAATGTCGCCTACAAAGCTTCTAAATTTCACGATTTTTGACGTCACCAATCAAAAGAAGCGAGGAGGTGACAAGTGGGAGAGAAAAACGGCAAAAATAAAAAGGCGCGCGCGCGGGGGAAATTTTTTTTCGTGATGCGTCTTTTTTTGCGTGTCTATGACTACAACTTGCATTGGTTTAGGCAATAAAAAAATACGACCTTTGGGGTGTCAGTGCCTCTGTAAAGCATTAATTTTTTGTATCTGGGTAGCACAAATCCCATACTAGTTTGAAAGTTCTAAAATGTCCCTCGTCACGTCGCCGAACACCACAGAAAGCACTCCTGCCTATATGTGACGCGCAGAGAGAACAAAAGAAAATTGCACCGGTGACGACGATCGACACCTATGATCGATTGCTCGCGTAATTTTGTAGCTCAATGCTGTCATCTTTCAACAATAGGGACTCCACGCACGAGTACGTTTGAGGCATATACACAAACGTGCGAAACAACTAAAGAACAATATAAATACCGTATTTACTCGAATAATAGCCGCACTATTTAGGAACAAGGCCCTTGTCTCTACTTTCCCGCAAAGCACGTATGCGCTAGAGGTGCAGACGCTGATGCGGAGTTTTGGAGAGCCGTCGGAGGCAACGAGAAAACGCACCAGCTTGCGGCTCATTTGGGTGCGGCCTAGGGGACCTCGATTGAT